ATCTTAGGCTTTCTCATTTTTTTCTACTTTAGAAAATATCTCCATTCCCATACCCCCTTTTAACATCTTTTACATTCTCATTTTCTTTTTTTTTTTTTTAATAATTATGAGACACAATAGCATTAACAAATTTTCCCCCTTTTGTGAGACTTCTTTTCCTGGGGATGCTAAGAAATGTTTATTCCCTTTCAAGGTTCTAGTGTCAAACCAATGTTTGATTAAAGTTTTACTGGGGAACCAGTGAATTTATTGAGCTTGCTTACTGAGGTAACTGAGGGGTTTCTGTGGGGACATACTTGCTTTTTCATCTCTGAAATTCTTAATGTTTACCGTTACCCGGGATCTCATATAAGTGTAAAGTCATTTCCTTGTACTCATTTATTTGTGTGTTATTTGCCTTCTGTGTAAGCAAGGTCACAAAGATATGAGAAATTGCCCATACCAAGAAATTAGGAAAGAATTGATAGGACTTACCAACTAATGGGCTATGGTATGGGGGCCAGGAGGAGGTAAGGACACAGCAGTGGCCTGGACTGTAGTGTAGTCAGAAGACTGCAAATGACATAACACACAGCAGAAATTAGGAGGAAGAACTCGGCAGGGCTTCTTTTTTTTTTCTTCTTCTTCTTTTTTTTATTAGGCATGTTGCATTTGAAAGGGTTAAAGTAACTACATAACAAGATAGTATAATATAATATTGACATTAAAACTATACTAAACTCTTAATGTTTAATTTTGATTCATAGTATTCCTAAAATTCTTGAGTCTAGTTTTTTTCTGTTTCTGTTAGAGTTAAGGAAGAACATGGCTTTTTGTAAGTTGCACTGCTGCTGTCTGTCAAGGTCCCTGTCTGTCTAGGTTTTACTACCTTTCCACACATTTTCAAAATGGTGAAGCTTTGGCACAAGATACTGAATACAAGAGACCTGCCAGGGACATTTTGCTCCATGCTTTGTCAGCTGTCTTACCTGTAGATGGCATTTGAAAGCAGTTATCACCAACATTTTGTTGTCTGATTTTCAGAGTTGTTCTTTCAAGCCTCTTACTATGTGGTGCGCATTATCCCAGGCAACTGATGCTATCATGAGCAAAACTCAGGATGACTACTGAGAACTGCTTGAATGCTTCGGAACTTGGTAGTGCTGTGCACATGTTCGTATGTGCCCCTTCTTTCCTCCCAAGAACAGAACCCAAAAGATCTAGAAAGGAAGATTAATGAGGCTTACTTGTGAATCTATAAACTGCACTTAGTTTGGGAGGAGCTGGGAGAATATAGTTTAGGTTTTCAGAAAGCCTCCTGCAGTGGCATAATTAAGTACCACAGAAGCTTACAAATTATTTTCCCAAATATGAACGTCTACTACTTGCTTGGTACATGAAAAAACAAACAAGCAAAAAAAAAAACAAACTAGTTTTTGCAAAATCAAACAGTATTAAGAATATTCTTACAGTTATGTAGTGAGTTTTCATCTTTGAGATGAAATAAATAAATATCCATAATATTTGTGGAAAAGAAAAGGAAAGTAAAACCCAAAGAACCAAGCTATTATTCTGTTGTGATTCATATGTAGTAGCACTTTGAAAAAGTCTTCTCTGCCTTCCTTCACAGTGCTGGGAAGCTAGCCCAGGGCCTGGTGCTAGGCATGAGCCCTGCCACCAAGCTGTGCCCCAGCTCCAGAATCCCCACACTTAGATTAATTACAACTTCCTCTGCAGAAATATAGACGTCAGCCATTGCTGTATCCTAACGCGGTATGGTAAATAACAGGTGGAGTCAAATTTGTAGTTTATTACTTTTATAAGTTATTTTCGGGGCTGGAGAGATGGCTCAGTAGTTGAGAGCACTGGTGGTTCTTGCAGAGGACTCAGGTTCGAATCCCAGCACTCACATGGTGGCTAACTACTGTCCTTAACTCCAGTTCCAAGGGATCCGATGCCCTCTTCTGACCTCCACAGGCATTGCATGACACGGTGCACAGAAATGACCCCCGGTTTATTCAGACTGAGATAGAGAGCTACTGGGAGCTTGTCAGCCTTCTTTGTGGAGAAGAGGCTAAAATAACAGGCTGGAGGCCCTTTAAGAGAATCTTGCATCCAGGAAGGAGATGATATTTGAATTAGGGTGTTAAAGTAGATGTGGGGAGAGGTAGAGCTAACAGGATCTTTCCAGACACTGAAGTCAGTTTGGGTTTTTTGGAAGGGGAGGTGGGGATACAGATCAAAAATGGCTCTAATTAGGGACTCTTGATAGATTGACTAGACCCCAGTGGATGAACATGCACCAAGGGACATCTGGATACAAAAGTTTGACTAGATAGGACTTAACATATATGACAGAATACCTGAAATTTGGTGGGATGAGGGGCAGGGAGGGGGAGGGAGTCTCAATTTGATCAAGGTGTATTGTATGAAATACACAAAAACTCAGTAAAAATTGTCAGTCAAAAAAAATTACTCCAACTAAAACACTGGAGATTAAAAGAGTCATGTACCCAGGGCTGCTGAGAGAATGTTGGAGTTGAATGAGGTTACTCAAGGGCTGTGTTCTGGAAAGGTCTCAGTCACCAGAGTGGATGTCATATATGGGCAGCCAGATGACTAGGTCTAGAATTCAGGGGAGTCAGGTCAGGGCTTAGATACAGACAGGGGGACTTAGGAAATGATATTGAATAGAATCATCTAAGGAGCAACTCAGAGGCAAGGTCCCAGACTGAAACACAGTCATGCTAACATTGAGAAATAATGAAGTAAGAGATCTCAAAGACACAGAATAGCCAATGGTGCTTTGCCCTGATGTCTATTTTTCTTGTAAATCCTTAAGATAATTTCTGTATCTGAAAGGAGAAAGTTATTGAGATAGCATTAGCACACATCAAATCATTGCTTGTGTTTATCTTACAAAAAAGCACATGAGGTATTTCCAAGAAGAAAATGGACCAGGGCATCTTCCTTACTCCCTGCCTCAACTTCCAGCTACTTTGGCATCTCAGCTTGTATCTTAAGTGCATTTTGTTACAAAAATATGGATGTGAATTGAGGTTAGCTGAACACAGAACATTCCCCCACCATGTTCAGCAGGATCTATACACAGAGAAGAGTAACACAACAGCTCCCAGCAGGGGTGAGGGGCACTGGCTATGTACTTCCTCTATTGTGTTAATGGGAATTATGCAAACTACTATGTAATCTTTTTCACTTTGGCTACCAAGAAATTTAAAGAGATATTTGTGCTTAATATAATAAGTTAAAATTGAGATTAACATTTGCATATTCTGATTTTACTTTTATTTGCATTCTATTATTACATTATTATTAATATAAGTTTTCACAGATCCTTCCTCCAATGAGTTGCGGTATGAAGAAAAATGTAAACATATTGGGCTACAGAAATGTAAATATATATATATATATATTCCTTTCTTTAGCTTTCATTTAAGTTATAAGAGTATAATGTGAGCATTTAAGAAGCTGTTAACAAAACATACACAAAAGTGCAGACATTAACACTTCTTTTAAAAAATATTATTTTTGCCAGGCATGGTGGTGCACGCCTTTAATCCCAGCACTTGGGAGGCAGAGGCAGGAGGATCTTTGTGAGTTTGAGGCCAGCCTGGTCTACATAATGAATACCAGGACAGCTGGGGCTACAAGGAGACCCTGTCTCAAAAAGACAATATATATATATATAATTTTTATTTATGTATATGAGTATATTGCCTGCACATATATAAGTGCACTAGTGTCAGGCAGTGCACGAGGAGGTCAGAGAGGGCATTGGATCCCCTGGAACTGGAGTTATGAACAGTAGTTAGCCACCATGTGGGTGCTGGGAATCAAACCCAGGTCCTTTGCAAGAGCAGCCAGTACTCTTAATCACTGACTGAGCCATCTCTCCAGCCCAATGCTTCTTATAAACTGGCTAAAACATTAAAAATAACAATAAAAATTTTAAAAGCATCAAAGAGATTATAAACTAGTAAAGAATTAACACGCAAAAGTAAAGAGAAATCAAGGATCTAGAAAAGTAGACAAGCTCTACGCCATTTTCCCCAGGAAGCATGATCTAATCCTGGAGAATTAGATCCACTTTTATAAATCTTCCAGGTTTAGAAATAGGCAAATCAAAGCTATAGTCCCTCTAAGTTGAGGACTCTGACAGGAGACCTTCCCTTACGGCAATCTGGGTCCAAGATCTCAGACTAAGGGCAGCTGGCGCAATTTGAAGGGAATTCAAATTCATTAGAACTTTCCTGAGTTTCTCCAGACTTCATGATTTTTAATCTGTGCATCTGATGTTCATCAGGGATTGACCTCTGCCACTGAGATTTCAGAGAAGAATCTTCCCAGTAGGTTCCTAATGCTGTTTCTAAGCATGCACTGGAAACGGCACTTCTACATTCATTTTTATCATTGACCCAGTCAGTGAGGGTGGGATGGATAATCATATTAGTAAGGGACAGAGAATAGGTAGGGAGAAGTACTTTCTACCACTAGGAAAGGAGGTGACACAGGGTGATTGTGATGTTATTAAAAGACCATTGTTTTGATTCTCATGAGCCAGATTAGTTTCAGGAACCTCATGGTGGATTAAGTTAGAATAATAAAAAACAAATGATCACTTTAGTGCCCTTTTAAAAATTTATTTTATTTATTATTTTTATGTGTATGAGTGAGTGTATTGCCTGTATGTATCTAAGTGCATATGTGTTATGCAATGCCCACGGAGATCAGAAGAGGGCATCAGATCCCCTGGAACTAGAGTTCTGAATGGTTACTAGCTGCCATGTGGGTGTTGGGATTCGAACCTGGGTCTTCTGCAGGAGCAGCCATAACCACTGAGCCATCTCTCCAGCCCCCATTTAGTGCCCTTTCTGAAAATGTGTAGTTGTAAACTGTATTAATAAGATTAATTATTGATGCAGGGAGACATTATACAAGACATCTCTAATCCCAGGTTGAGGAGTGATTAATGTGTTGTTTGCTAATATTCTGTTTTTCAGTCAGAGTTGCTACAGAGGAAGATAGTGATGATGTTGGGCAATCCAGAGAGAACAACCTGAATGACAGCTTCTTAGATGATGAGAAAGAAGAATATGAGCTGACAGATGAAGGTTCTGATTGGCAACCAGGAAAGGAAGATGAGGAGGAAGATGTGGAAGAGCTTCTGAAAGAAGCAAAGAAGTGTATGGAAAGAAAAAAGTAACTGCTGTCTGCAATAATATGTAGAGTTCACATTTGAGAAACATTCAGAAACTAAGCAGTCATCTGAGTGAGTGTTGCTTCCTTCCAATAGTTCTTTGAACTTGAAACACTGAAATGCCAGTCTTCAGTGAAATAGGTGTTGTTGCCTCTGTGGATGCCAGTTCAAAGCATCTGGAACTAGGAAGCAGCCAAAGCAGTCTAGCAGTGGGTGATGCTTTCCATATACTTTGCATACTGATAATGATGAGGTGTACAAAACTGATCTTCTCTCCACAGATTCTGTCTTTATAACTTCAGGTTTAGCTGGGTGGATTCATGAAGGGTGGGAGCATGCCTCCTCATTGCTGCTGAAAGAGTTCATCACCAAACCAGGCTTCTGAAAGTAACAGCCATCACAACTACTGGCACTTTTCTAATGCTCTAGATGTGAGCTTTGTGATTTCGTTTACTACTTCTGTTCTTGGAAACCTGGGGAAATTATTACCAAATATATCCTGTTGACCTATAGAAGAGAATGCAGTTTTGTCCAAGTATAGCCCTATGTGATTATTTCAGCTTGTACTGTGCTGTCTTTACATTGGGGGTACAGAAACAATTCTAACCATGGTTTTCTCAAATGATGTTCTTTTCAGCTCAGATGAAAGAAGAAAGCTGTTTGCTACTGTAGAGGATT